CCCGACCCGACCCGACCCGACCCGACCCAGGGGCTGCGAGTAGTCCCTGGGGCTGCTCTGTATAGAGCTTGTATATCTCTGCATATATTCCTTTATATAGGGATATAGGTGTCATGTCACACAGCAGTGTCCTCTTTGACTTTGGTGCTGTCCTGTGTCACCTGCTTCCTTTCAGTGCTGCTTGTGCCATTTTGCCAAGATAATTTTATTTATAATGTGTAGAGATAGTCATAGAACAAGAAACTAAAAATGCATCTCTGGGGAGCTGGGGGAGCTGGGAGATTTGGAAGAAAATCCCAAAACCATCAGGGCAAGCCTGTGCTTTCAGTTCTTTCACCTGGAGCCAGCAAACACCTTTCTCCCCACCCAAGCAGCCTTGGTTCCCGTTTGTGGGGGTGTCTTGTGTCACAGCTGACAACAGACATTGTAGTCTGAATTAGAAGCAAACTCAATGGCAGAGAAAGAACTGGAATCTAATGGTCTCATTTTTTTCTTTAAATAGGATTATTTGTCTGGCACCTGAAGAACACTGGAATACGGCAGATACCATGCCAGTTTGTGCATCTATGCCATGTAGCCAATAACAGATTGATTACGTTTCAGTACTTCAACTTTCTCAAACGAATGGTAAGTCAGGGGGAGGGTATTTATCCCATGTTTCTCATTTGTTTTGTCCCATGTGATGAGTCCAAATGGAGATTAGTTGATAAAAATAGTATTTTTCATATCTGCCAAGCTCAGGCAATTCCAAATGTCTCCTTTTCTGCATTGCATCAGAGTTAAGCACTTGGGATCTAAAGCATTTGAGGTTGGAGGAAACCCACTGTGGCAAGCCCAATGCTTTCTGCGACAGCAAGTCCTCTACCTGATGGGGGGCTTTCTGTGCCTTTGAAGTGGAGCGCTCATCTCATGTTGAGAAATGTGAAATGAAATTATTTTCGAAGTTGTTATTTGTTAAAATGCCGATAACCAAATCAAATCTTGGCTAGTATTCATACAAATGATAGATAGAACTTGCTTGTGGAGGTAGTGTGTTCTGACTGAAGAGTTGATCAGTTAATTTGAATCAAAACTCTTGAGCTCGTTAACTTAATAGGTTGCGTTCTGTAGTGTGCTGTTAGTTTGGGGTATTAAAAGAGCTGTAATAATCATTCAAGCCCTTGAAATGTTATCTTCTTCTTTGAACAGTTGTATCACATCCAAGAGGATGATAGTAAAAGACATATTTTGCTCTTCCCTGAGTTGTGTCCTGCTCATTGTACTTTGGAGCTATATCTATGAAATATGGATAAGACTAAGTCTTACAGCTAATGACTGCTTTGACCACAAGAAGTGTGTACATCTGTTGGTATTTTTTGAGCTTCAGTCCCATATGAAGCAAGAGATGGGGGTCTCTTCCACGCTTCTGAGGATCACCAGCAGTTCTCGAATTCTTTTTTTTTTTTTCCCCCCTATTGATTTGAGCTGTATTCACATCACTCATTCAGAGTTGAAAAGTTTCAGATCTCTCTTCCTCATTAGAATTATTAACGTGTGCTTTAAACCATGATGAGTTAAAAGCTCAGTCTTTTTATGCTTGTCTCTTGTGCTTGAAATATATACAATATTTTGGGAAAGAAAACAGGAAGATAGGAGAAGCTAAATGCTTTTTTTCTTATTCTGTGTTTTATTCTGTAAGAGTTCCTAAAAGAGAGGAAACAACTGTCTCCTAACTTTCTTTCAATATATGTTCTTTTGAACTCCTGTTGAAAACTGTTAAGTCTAGTAACTTAGCATAAAGTTTGTGATAAATAGTAATAGCCTAATGTGGGAGATGATGTTATATCACAGGAGGTAGAGTGTATTTTCTGGCATTTTTCTGACTTTTTTTCATATCTTAAAGATACAAAAAGTTTAGTGCTTACATTTGGAGACTGGAGTTGATGGGCATGTGTGTACCTTTTTGTTGAAAGGTGAATTGATTGGTAAACCAAATTACATTTTCTGGTAGTTTTGAATATGAATAGAGTTTGCTGTTGAAACAACAAGGGAGGAAATAGTTTTATGCAAAAGCAATTCCTCAAGCTTAAGTAAACATTATTGATGCAGTTGTGAAATGAAAAGCTGCCTTTGTAATATCTTGTCCAACTTCAGAAACTTTTTTGCATGTGAAATAAGTGTTTGAAATTCAGGCTAACTTAGTCATGTCATCACAGGAAGTAATTCTCCTAAAAATAAGAATAATGTAGCAGTGTGATTGATGTTGCTAATAACCTGAAATGGACAGAAATATCTTCTTAACTATTAATCTTAAAATTTCTCATTCTATTTAGTATGTAACACAATACAACAAAGACCTCAGCCAACGAGCCAAACCTAAGTCAGATTCAGTTGCATCTCCTTTTCGTGAGCTTCAGCAATTTGATCAAGAAAAAAAGGTTATACACAAGATTAGACCAATTTCACCTGTTCATCAGCCTTTGTCTGAGACATCAAGCAGAAATGAGTTGAGAGAAGTGAAGTCAGCTGCAGAAACTGGCAACTCAGTCACACCAGTAAGAGCAGAATCCAAAGAGGACAGACAGTGGAAAGAAATGAAGCTACGGCTGGATGACTTGCCAGGAATTTTGGCACGCCTGTCCAAAATTAAGCTTACAGGTACCACCGGTCATTTTTTCACTTCTGTGCATCCTGTTTGATATCAGTGGTCTTTAGCATGTTACTGGTACTGTGTAGGTTTTTGTGGGGTAATTCTCACTTCACTGACACGAAGTGCCTGGGTCAATTCCATCAAATGTGTGCAGGGGAAAATTGTTTTATGGAAGCATTTTATAGTTTTCCCATTAAATTTGTTTAAAAACAGTGAGGACGAGCTTGCATCATATTGTCAGCTAGCTTTTGGGAATCATAAGCAAGTGTTAGTACAAAAAATACGGTGAAACTGGGTTAGGAAGTGAATTTACAAGCATTGTATTAAGTATTTAAAGTCGTCTTGCTTAAGTTTACCAATGTTCCATCTTATTTACTTACCTTTCACTTTAGTGCTGCTTATTGTGAAATTAGTATTAAAAGTACCAACAAAAGATAATCCGAATAATTTCCTGTCTTATAAAAGAAATTGTTTGAGTGTGACCAATTAAACTTTCTAAAATAAGGTATAATTTACTTTTCTAGTTAATGACAGTGCTGTATCTTCAAACCAGCAGTTTGTTAAACAATTGCCTTGTAGCCTAACTACATTTTCCCTTGTTCTAATAGTAAAACTTAACAACTATAAATTACTTTCTTGCCAATAGATAGTGCCATATATACTTTTATGTCTAAGGAAGCTCTAATGATCTGACCAAAGCCTTACATCTTGTCTGTATCAGGGCCAAGAACAGGAATATAATTTCCTAAGTCCCTACTGTGGTGCTCTCTCCAGTGGGTGAAATAAATTCTTCATAATAAAACTGTTGTTCTTTGCCATAACAGTTTGTTATAAAAAAGCTGAATTCAGTTTACTTTTTGAAACTTTTTGTCTTGCAATATGTATGTTTTCATTGTTTCTCCATGGAAAAAATGTACTGACCACATACACTGTACAATGGTCATTTAAATTTTTCTCTAATAAAAAGCCTTATAGTTCTCAGTGTTGATGAGACATCTCATGTTTTGGACTTGGCAAAACTGGTCTTGTCTGTATGTCCAAATGTTCTTCTCGTTATTTTTAAAAAACCTCAAGGCGTTTGTTTTGTGCTGGTAAAGAGTTGGTTTAGTGGACTTGAGGGATGAAACGCATGCATTTTGGTACTTTACCATGTCACTTTTACATATTAGCCTTGGTAATTTCAAATCTAGGTATATAAAACTCTTACTGACACATTCAGCAGTTATCAGGATTATTGTACTTCAAATTTGCAACAGCTTTGTGGTACATACAACCTCAACTATTGCCGCCTCTTTCTTTCTGCATAATACAGGTCTTGCCTTTTTCTCTTCCATGCTGTTCAGTTTTGGTAATATTTTGTTTCTGTTGGGCTCACCATGAATAACTTAACAAGTGCTATAAGAATAATTAGCTCTTCTGGTGTATTTTCAATGAGGTGATTTTATTCAAGTGATTCTTTTATGTAAACTTGAAAGCTGTGCTAGTTATTGAAGTAGAATAAAATTCAAAAATCTCAATAGATCCAGAAATTAAAAGTTAAAATGCAGTGATTGAGTGACTGCCTTAAAAGAAGGAGAGAAAGAACTGTTGTTGCTGATACTCCTTAGGGGCAAGCTCAGTGTTAGTACCACGTCAGAGTATTACTGGTGCTCCTCAAAACAGGAGTTTCGAGAACTGCAGTAAGATGGAAGAGTGTCTTTCTGGAGAAAACAATTTTATGTGATACTTCTGTTGTGTGGCCTCACTGTTGCTGCCAAACTTTTCAACAGCTTCTAGTAGACTCTTTTTTTAAAATGCAAAAGGCAATATTGACAGGCAAGAAAGTACCACTCTTATTTTAAAACAGGGTGTTCCTTGAAACCTGTGGAGCAAAGGTTACAGAATTTGATTCGCTTTGCGATTGTCTGTTGGTTTTTATGAGTCTGCACGTTGAGGTGTGCTGTTCTTGATCCATGGCGAGTGTAGTAACCTCTGTACCTGTTGAGAAGGTATAGAGATACAGAAAAAAGCTTAATCTCTCTTGTAATCTTTATTTGGTATTTGGTGGGGAAGATGATCTTGGGTGAAGAGATTTTATTGGAAGTAGAAAGTGTAAAAGCGTAAGTTGGATGAAGAGGGAGTTCTGTTGTTGGTCTTTATTGGTGATAGGATAGTGTAGGGACAAGAGCAGGAAAACTACTGTGTAGTTTGTGGAGCAAGGAAATAGGATTAGCTTTTTTCCAGCTTGTGTAATCACTTACCTAAGTTACATATTCTGTAAAGAATATGGTGGTGTAGGGCTTTGGGTTTTTTGTGTTCTTTTTTTAAAAGAAAAAAAAAAATCTCTGAGGTCAGTTTTTAAGTTACAAATGACACACAATTCTTTTCACCCATGAAGTTCTGATAGATCTCATATCCTGTGTGTTTTTTTTGGCAGACTGTTTATTTATACTTTTTAGAGTATGAAATAACAAAAAAACAAACTCTGCATTATGCTAAAATGGGACTTCCTTATGCTGTCCTCTTTTCCCGCTGCTGAAGTAAAGAGAATGTTTGTTTGTATTCTGAACTGTAATTCACCTTTGAAAGGAAATGAGTTTAGCTATTACCATACCCTCCTGCTTCATGTAAACTGCAGCTCTTACGACTCTGCCATTAGCAGCTCTGCCTTACCAACAGGAAAAGATTTTTGTTTATATTCTTTTGCCATAGAAAACAGTTAGGGAACTTTTAATTACTTGTCGCATAATCTACCTTTTTGGGTTCAGTTTCCATCTTTTCCCTTCTCTGTGGTGTTCTGTGTTGGCTGCTGTCTGAACAGCTGTGTCTTACCATCTAGGCACTTGGAAAGCTAATGCATCTGTCTGATAAGTTTTCAGAATTGTAAGTGTCATTGTTTTCAACTTTATCCTAATGTTCATGTTTAGCTGAAAATAGGAAAGATGTGAGGGTATGGTAATAGGAGGAAATTCTAATAATTTATAATGCAAATACATTAAGAATTTCAGGTTGTCTCATCTTAAATTTAACTTCAAGTTACATTTAAGTAATGTTTTCACTAGTGATCACAGATGAGCTATGTGCAAAAACACAGGAAAGTTAAACTTCAGTTTTTAATTTGGGGGAAGTGTGATGAAGGCACAATATGAAAAGTGGTGAGTATTCTCATTAGATATTCCTCTGGTTTCTGAACATTTTCTCATTGTTGCTCCTGTAGTAAATGATGTCTTTCACATTGGTCTTTTGATGAGGATAACCAGCTAGATGTGTAGCACCTATCTGAGAAGTGGGTCAACATGGGTCAGATGTAAACTTAACTGCTAATTTTTAAACAGCTGTAGAATTTTTAATCTAACTTGCAAGCTGTTTAAGGAAGGGGCTGTGTCTTTAGCATATCTCTATCTCTGCTGTGCCTGGAAGAGCTGAGTCCTGACTCCAGGCTACCGTAACATGGATCTCCTTTAGAAAGACATACTAGAGCCCATTCAAACATTTATCTACCTTTCCTTTATCCTGTGTTTTAGTATACTACAGTTAACATTTTTATTTGTGTTCATGAGCATATTAATTTGTCTAAAGATGCTTTTTTATTCACAATTTTGTATTAACTGGTTGCTGTTTACCCAGAGATCATATGCAAAGACACAGTCTCTCCCCCAAAGTCTTTACATTCCTTTACGGCATCTCATTGCAAGGCACTTTTAACTTCCCACTCTTAAAAGGTGTTTCAGAGTTTTGGTAGTATTTTCTTCAAAGTATATTTTAATAGTCAGTCCATTAAAGCATGATGAGCATTGCTGTTCTGTTCTGATTACTGAAGACTTTGTTTCAGATCTCACCAGAGCAGCTTCTGCGCTTCGTATCTTGCTTTGTTTCAGTGTGTGCAATATCCATGCAGAATCACAGGGACCTCAAAGGGACACTTCTAATCTATTTTCCCTTGAGTCAGGATCCCCTTTAGGTGTATTTTTCCTGACTTGATGTTGCTTTGTCCGTTCCTAAAACCAACCAGGGAATATACAGCTTCCCTGGGCAGTCTGCAGCAGTGTGTTACAGCTGGAAAGTGTGTCTCCAACAGAAACCCTCCTTTGCTTCACTTTAAGTATGTTACTATTTCTCCAAACACTAAGAAATCTGGAAACTTTCACAGAGTAAGCTTATGTTTTACTGTGTTTCTCTCGTTGAGGATGTGAGATGTTGTTTGGTTGTATCTAGCTCTCAGAGAGTTCAACCCAGTATCCTATTAACGTTACGTAAGAAGTGTTGGTAGTAAATTCCCTCTGGTTTTGTCATGGTCTATACCTTAGAGCTAAAATAGGCCAGCTTGAGGTGTTTACGCCTCTGTAAATCTGGAGTAATTAATCATCTTTAATAGAGGGATTCCAGGGTTTACTGTGGTCAGATCAGAAACAAACCTATTGTGCTTTTTCCTCATCAAAGTGTAATGTGCATGTTACGGACAGAATCACAAGACTGATGTCATCAATTCTCTGAGGATGCCCATAAATTTGTTCGATGTTTGTTTTTAAGGTAAAGATTTACATATCATTTTGATGTCATCTGATCATTAGTAGCTCCTTCCACAGGCAGGAGGATGTGGACATTCTCCGATCAGGTGCCAAAATTCTTTTAAAGACAGATTTGGACTCATCTATGCTTTAGTTTTCAAATCTTTTTTAAAATATGTGAATCTTGGCACAGAGAAAACATGTTTAATAAATTGAAATGGGAGGTTCTGGCTTGTCATAAGGGAAAAAAAAGTTTCACTATGAGGACAGTCAAACTTCGGTGCAGGTTGCACAGAGGTGATGTGAAATTTCCATCCTTGGAGATGGCAAAGCCCTAAGGGACCTGGCCTGAATTCAGCGTTGATCCTGCTTTGAGCAGGAGGTTAGACTTGATGATCACCTGAGATCCCTGCCAATTGGAATTACTCTGTGTTTGTTGATAGACAATGTTAGGCAAAAACCTAGGAGATGACCAGCTACAAAATTGTGCATGGTTTCTACATCATGGACTTACTGACTTACAGTTTTTGCAAAGTGGACAAATATGATAACTTATGTGCATTTTCAGTTTTGGAGACTAAAATAGAGCATTTTTTCATATCTCCGCTTTTAAGAAAATAAACCTATCTTGTTTACTAGAAAACAGCTGGAATTTATTGGATGTATTGCTTACATACAAATTTGTGTCTGTGCATTAGCGATCTTCTAGCACATAAATGTTAAACTGGGAATCAGAAGCCTGAGATATTTGCTACTGACTTATGATGTGATCATGAACATCCTGCTTCATCTCTGTGTCTGTTGCATTTTGTAAAATGAAGATGATGGATATCCAGCTTTGTATAATGACTTTTGAGTGTTACCAAACTGCTACGTAATGGAGCAACAATGACTAAATGAGGAGCCTATGTTGTGTTTGTAGGCTAAAAATCTGGTAACAGCCACTCTAGTGAAAAAAATCTATTTGCTTTAATGGAGTTTCAGTATGTTTCCACTTTATTCTGGAATAATGGCATTTATTATAGCATTTATTCTTTAAATGGTAGCTTTAATATAGCTAGAAACTTTGACAAAGATTTATCAGTAAATATTGTTTAGCTTATTACTAGTCTACGTTTATTCCCAGTTCTAAATATATTTCATAAGCCTGTCAAAGTAGTTCTCATTTTGTGATTATTAAAACACTGACTATTATCCTATCAAAGAAACAAATCTTAATAGTGGTAGCTTTCTGGCAATTTGTTTTCTGTGCTACAAGGAAAACTAATAAAAAAATCCCCCTATTATTACAGTTTATTTTTCGCAAAGCATTTTGAAATTGTTTGATGGTAAAAAGAGATTATCTGCTCTATTCGTAATTCTGCACTTGAATTTTCTATGATATGATGCAAAGATTTGTTTCAAATTATTGTCCCAAATTTAAGTTTGCTTCAGGAATTTGGCCTTCTTTAGCTTGCAGGTTATAATCTGCAGCAAAACTTAGATATGCCTACACCCAAACAAATCTAAGTTTATAAAGGGAACATTGGTCACTAATACTGATGCTACATTTAGCTTTCCAGAAACTGAGGTGTGAAAACTCTGGAGGGAAAATTCCGTCAGCTTTTGGAATGCTGGTTTCCTTTAAGGAGTATATAAACATTTGTAGTAAACCAGTGAAAGCGTTTCATAAATTAAAGTAGAAATGCATTTGCTTTTGTCCTTCCATATGTACTGATATATCATCAGTACAGGAGTAGAAAGGAATTCTAAAGCTGAATTGGTTTGCTTTGGCTTTCTATGCTTTTATTTTGGCTTGGCTACTTTTTAATAGGAGGTGAACAAAATATGGTATAATGATTCGCATGCTATAAATATAAATGCAGGGATTTATAAAGGAAGATCACATTACAATGAAGCTGAAGAGGAATGTAAAGAATACTGTACACAGTAGACATTTTGAATGTATTTTTATGCTAGAAACATTGTAATTCACTCTTTTAGTCACCAATCCATTAGTGTTTTCTTTTTCATTTACATTGAAATTGGAGACAAATGTCCCTTGTTAATTTTTGTTAAAGATGTTTGAAAGACCGAAAATTAGGTTTAGGCTGAGATCATAAGCTTAAATCCTTGCTGCTTTTTGAAGAGCATATATAATGCCAACTCTGATAAACAAATCTTGAAAAGATCAATTCCATCTATTATGCAATAAGGTGAAGTTAATTTGGCCCCTAAAGCACTAAACTAACAGGGATTAAAAAACAAAGAGTCAATTACCTCATTCCCTTGATGTGATCTCAGTTAAATATACTTTTCCTCCATAAGGAAGGTAGAAGAGTAAATTATTGCTTTCACAGTAGAAGAAAATAAACTTTCCATTCCAAAGGGAATATTTTCTTATTTACTCTTAACATGTTACATTTGAATTGCTGGGCAATGAGAGAAGCAGGGAATGCCTTGTGTTCAGAGCACTGCCCAAACAACTGAAAATACCTGGTTCAATGGGATATGTGAGAGGATGTACTACAACCTTTTTTAATGAGACCCTGATAAGTCACACTAAAATGACGGGCTGAAATTAATCTGGAGAAATCAATGGGGACTTTAATTAGTGCTGTAGCTGTACAATATTAGAATGTCTTTGAGGTCAGTGTAGTGGTAATGTTACACTGACTGTTTGCCAATCTACTCCACCTTTCTTCTTCAGTAAATGAGTTGGTGTTTTCCCATAATAAATTGGTGTAAAGTGCTCTCTAAGATAAGTTTTAATTAAATTCTTGTCTAGAAGTGAATGTGTGATTTATTATGCAAAAAAATGATTGTAATCACTCTTAGAAATAAACGCCACTGTTTCGCCATCAGCTTTTCACTGTATTTTTTAACTATCAGTTGTAAACCAATGCATTTCATATTTTCTTGTGTGCTCTGCTAAGAAGGATCCAAGAGTTTTGAAACCAAGATGCTGTTGTATTTATATAATAAATGGGGTCCAGTCTTTCAGAAATGATCAGTACCGGCATGTCCGTTAGTCTGTCCAGTGGGGTTGCAGAATCTGTGGTTATTTCACAGCTTCTCAGAGGGGTAAGGCTCCATCGTAGATTCACTGTATTTTAGAAGTAGCTGAAGGGGCTGCAGTGGGAGCCTGGTGCTGCCCTCGGCAATGCTGTCTTGGGAAATCAAAGCCAGGGGACTTACCTTGGTATTAGGCGGAGACCCTGATGCAGCACACTTGCAGCCAGCCTGTGCAACAGCCATCTGCACCGCATCCTGTGAATCCATAACAGGGCTAAATAATTAATGTTTATAGTAATACCATGCACATTATTGGCAGCCGAATATTATTGTAATAGATTTTAATACTTAGAGGAAAGTTTTGATGAGCAGCAAGTTTTCTTCACTCTCTTTTTAGGATTAAATCCTAAGGTTGCAGTTCTTAAAATTAGTACTTCGCATGTACATCCTTGCTGGCAGGCCTCTGCCATGACGTTTAGTTTTTCATCTCAAGTAATGCTGCTTAGTAGATAATCCAGGTATTTTCAGTCAGACATTTATTTGTCATTTAACTTCAGACAAACAGGAGACTTTGTAGAAATTGGGAAGATAAGAACATTTTGATTTGAGCTAGCTGAGGTCTGGAACATGTAATTACATGAAAAATATCATTTAAATACTTTTAATAACTATTAATTTTAGATTGTAAGGTTCAAGGTCATGAGCAAGATAGTCAGTAAATGTGCTGACTTTTATAGTATTAGAAATTTTTCTTGTCGTAGTATTTCTTGCCAAAAGTGAGGTTCATAAGACATATTATTTGGGTAATTACAATATTAGGATCGAGACTTGGGTAACTTTCATTTTAAGGATGTGATTTGCAGTAGTGTACTAGGGTTATAATTTTGGATGACAAAACTGAAATGGATTTTTATTAATCCACTCAAATTTTGAGGCCTTTAAATGTTGCTAGGTCCATATGATGATGTGATTGTACCTTCTGCCTGAAGTGGGTATCTCAAATGGGAACAGTGTGGGCAAATACTTGTACAGTGGAGTTACTGGCTTCACCAGCTGTAGCCTACGTGCCCTGAGTCTGTTTTTGACTTTCGGCACTGCCTAAGTTCCTGCTGTGATTTGATATAATGCGTATCTCTCAGTTCGGGATTTTTTTTTTTTTTTTTTTTTACTGTTTTTCTTCAATGTTAGACTTTGCAATGGCATTTGAGTTACTGGAACAAATGTATCTCATGTACATGTTGTGTGAGGCAGTTTGATCCTGTAGCAAATCCCTAAAATAGGGAATACAGGCATAAGTTTTATTCTCACCTCTTCTACTAATGTGCTGATGCTTCTGGGTTTCTCATTTCCCTGACAGCTCTCCTTCTCATCTTTGAGTTCTTTATGTAGAGTATTAGTATTAATTGTATGCAGTTTCTGGAGCTACTTTGATCCATACGAGTAGTAAAAAGTTAATCTGCACAAGGGTCCTTGCAGGGTTTAAAAACCTTAACTCTAGCGGTGTTTAGAAAGGAGACAGTTTCTTGTTGATGCCTTGAACTGTGCTCTTGCTTGTGTTGCAGCTCTGGTTGTAAGCACCGCGTCTGCTGGCTTTGCCATGGCCCCGGTCCCTTTTGACCTGACCTGTTTCCTGCTCGCCTCCCTTGGAACTGGACTGGCATCCTGTGCTGCCAACTCCATCAATCAGGTCAGTCTATCTCTTCATCTGTATCGCAAGCTCGTGTCATCCTGGCTTCTGAAACGCTGCCAGGGGTAAATGGATGGCTGGGAGTGCTGTGCCTTCAGCTGCCACACGAGCTCTGAGCCACTAAAACTGACACTGCAAAAGGAATAGATGTGAATTAAAGTATAGTTGCTAGGCATAGTGTGTTTATTTAGAATGGAGTTGATGAGGTTTTAAGCCTCCCAATAATAATGTTTATCTTGATAATACCAAGGCTGGGTCACTGCAAATGACATAGGAAGAACTGTGTAATTGGAGTACAAGAATAGCCATTGGGGCTCTGGCCTTATGAGCCTGGATCCTCGGTTGTGTTATTGTATGACCTTGGTGGATCTGTCTAAAGAATGGCTCAGAGCACCTTTCTAAATGGCTGTAATGGGACTTCGATGTGGTTTCTGTGCTTCTGTTCAGGCTGGAATCAGGGAATCCCATGCATCTGTAAAATGTACTGTAAGTTTCCATCAGTGGTAGATGTTTCAAGCCAGAGATGTCCAGGAGCCTGAACCTCAGCTTCCTTGCATGCATGAACGTGCCTGTGGAGCTTGATGCTGATCTCTCAGCTCTGTTGCAATCCAGCTGTGAAGTAAAGTTGCTGTTAGGCTCTTCCAAGTCCCAAAGGAGAGCCTAGCTAGTGAACAGGTAACAACACTTGTGGTGCTGAACGGAGTTACAAAGCATAGTAGCCACGGTCACTTTCAGTTGTAAATATAGGCTGGAAAATGAAGAGGCAGTAGCAGCACCACCTTTGGTGGCACTTTATGGTTTCAGCAGTCACTTGGGAGATGGAGGGGGCTGAGTCCTGGGACCCTGCTAATGGAACAGGGCATTCAAGTTTCATGTGATCTACATACTGGAGTCACCTTGATTGAGTTGGGCTTGTTGATGTTTACACCTTGTAACACCTTAGTTGTAGGCACCTGATGTGCTTTTAGAGATTGCACCCATAAGCATGCATCTCACTCAGACTGAAGTACAGGTTTTACTCTTTGTTCTCACTGAGCTTAAAATTGGGGTAGGCAGCTAACGGTGTGTGTTTTCTCTGCAAAATAGGAAGGATGCTGCATGATTTTTAGTTGCTTGGAAATATTTAGGTAGCCTACCTAACTTGAAAACACTTAGGTAGCCTTGAAAAATAAGTTTAAGAAAGTCACACTGTTTTCTGAAGTATACATTTGGTTATCATGAAGCTACTTTTCACATAAAGTCTGGGTAGAAAAGCTGTCATAACTAAGGTGAAGCTTTCTTGGTTTTGATACAATTTTAGAGGTACCCTTTTTTCCTCCCTTTTTTCCTCCCTTTTTTCCTCCCTTTTTTCCTCCCTTTTTTCCTCCCTTTTTTCCTCCCTTTTTTCCTCCCGTACAGTTTTTTTGTTAATATTAAAAATTCATTTTGTGACTTATCAATCCTTTGAAATATTTACTGTCATATTTACTTTCACCTTTGATGTGAGTACTAACAGACTAAGAGGAGAATTAATTATTTCTTGTTTAGAGACTCCTGTGCAACTTGTCTTTCTTGAGATTTTGATGGATCTTCCTAGAGAGATACTTGTGCACAAGTAACTGGTTTTCTTTGTCTTCAGCTTCCATGTATTATTGCTCAGTGTTGTATTTTGTCTCAAAAGTAGCCACTTCTTAAACTCTTGGAAGTCACTTTTTAAAATCTTACTTTTTAAAATCTTGAGATACTTGGGAGTACCAGGAATCCTGGGCGGTCATTTGGAGTTTGGTGCTTTTGAGGCTTGCTGGGATGGGAAAGGAAAGTTAGGAGTGCAATAACTTTGTGCTTGGGCTCATAATTCACTATTGACTCTCTGCTATCTTACCACAGGAACAGATGTTAATATGCCCTTAGAGATGCTTGCTCCAACCTCACAAAGTGTAAAACTGTCTTTCACAATGTCAGCTGAATGCTTTAAGTTTGCACACTCGCTGATGTTGAGCCACTTGCCTATGTAGACAGACCTTCAAGGCAACTGCTCTTATTAAAGAAAAGAAAGAAGCAGAGTTGGTAACAAAGCAAAAGAGCAGAGCTGTGGTCTATGACCTTGTTTATCAATGGATCCTTTCAGTCGATGAGTGTCCCTTTCCTGGTGTTGCTGTTGGTGCAGTGTCTGAATTGGCTAGGAATTTAATTTTTGATAAATACTGTAAGCTTGGGTATCCATCTTGACCTTTGGGAAGGAGCACATTTGACTTGGAACTTCCTTTATTGCTACTTTGCTCTGTCCATTGCTCCCCATACGCATCCTCTTCTCTGGCAGCTCATGACTCATGTTTCCCTTGTTGCTCCTTGCTATCCCTTAAGGACCTTTTTATATGATAACCGTCTTTCCGCTTCCCATATTGCTATAAATCTGTACATCTTTAAGGGCAACTTGTCTTTCCCACTCCTCATTTCCCTGATAAATCTGTGTTCACGATTTACAGTCCTCAAATATGTCGTGGGAAGGTAAAGTGTCGATTGTGTAAGATTCTTCCCCGTGATTTAGGACAGGATGTGAGGAGCCTGGTCCTGTGAAAATGTAATAGGGATTCTGTAATATTTGTGTAAGTATTGATACAGACTTTTAACTATTCAAATTCTGTGGTTTGGGGTTTTTTTTTCCTTCTCTTGACCACTTCATTTTAGCAATCTGGCAGGAGCTGAGGCCAGTTTACCCCCATTGAATTAAGTTGAATTAACTATTTAAGTTGAATTAACTACTGGGGAGGGAGCCAGGACTGTGCTAAGTAACACACAGAGATCAAGAAGTCATGTTTTGTTTCTTTACGAAGTTGTTGTAAAATAATCTTTAATTATCACTTGCTCTCTTGATTTCAGATGGTTGTGTGTCATACTTTAAACATTTTTTTTTTGTAACCGCAAGAGCTTAGAAAGTTACAAAAATTTGCCAGGGTGGAAGTTCTTGCCCCGCTTTCACTATCTTTAACAAGAAAGCAATAATAAAAAAAATTATGGGAGTTGGCAACATTGTATTTTTCCATTGTTTATAGAAGTACAATCTGGATATTTATCAGCCAAAGACATGTATTTACACACAAGTTTCACAACCTGTAAATTCTAAATTCTCTCTGTACTTTGCAATGCAAGTAGAAATAATGTATTTTTATATCAATTCTGTGAAATTGGATAATTATTTTTAAGAAGCTGATTTTTGGGGGGGGGGGAGAAATTACAGTGAAAAAGTTGTGTTTGAAAATATCCTGGAAAATAGAGATTAAAAAGTACTTGAGCATGGGCTTGCATTAGGGGGAAACATGGTGCGTGTTGTACAGCAAGGTCATTCCAGAAACATTTGTGTAGAAAATGTCAAGAAAAGTATCTTGGAATAATTTATGTTAGACAGTAGTTTGAGAGAAACAGAATCTCTCAGACTGGTCGAAAATGTTATGAATTCTGGGGATCTGAATAAATATTGGAGGGTCCTTTGGTTTTCCTGTAGAGGGTGTTGGGTCTGTGGGCTTTAAGGGAGTGAACTCCTGCTGGAAGGTGCCAAAGAAAAGATAGTGTTTTATTTCTCTTGTCCTCTACCAGCAGTTCTGCCTCTGCCTCACTGCTTCGTATCACAATACTTCAGAGTTGTACTTCACACCTAATCTAGCATTTTAGTGGCACGCTAATCCAGTGGTTCCTGGTTCTCTTCCACATCACGCAACACTGCATTATATCCTTCAGCCCTTCAGTATTGTACTACAACATGTCACCACTTTTCAGTCCCACCTGCTAAAACTGCTTTCCTCTTTTTTTCTCTTTTTCTAATGGTGCTCTTTCTTTTTTCCATCATTGATGTAACTTAACATTATTTTGGACAGGTGTTCTTTATTGGTGTTCTGTCTTTCCAAATTAATCAATATTTTACAGTGGTTTTTAATTAAAAAAAAAAAAAATCACTTAATGCATTTACCAAGGAATAGACTGAGACACATTTTTACCGTAACATTATTAAGCTAGCCAAAACCACCTGAAAGTCTTATTATAATAGATCAGCCTCTTTAATTGCAGTTATGGTAAGGAAATGGAAATATGTTCTGGGGTTTCATCTTGTAAACACTGCATGTTAATCTTGAATAAAACAAATAATTGTTCCTAGTATATCACTTATACTGTCCGCTTTCCTGACTCTTTCAGTGTTGTGTATTGGTATGGGTACACAAGAAGGTATTTTACCTTAGTGTTGTTCCTTACAAGCGACAAAAAAGAATAATCAAAACATTGGTTTTCTGATTGGTGAAGACCAATTTTGTAACTTACTTTTTCCCATCCTATACTGGTGCTGTCATAGAAATGGAGTGGGAGAAAATGATATTAAGTTACTTGATAATCTTTTGCTTTTTCGTAGCTCTGGTTTTTGATGAATTTTGAAAGCTGACTCAAGTTTCACAGAATAGAGTCTTACATTTATATTATGGAGAAAACATGTCATTTTTGAGACTTCTAAGATACTAGCCTCTGATTTATGGAGAAGGAGATAAAACATGAAGAGATGTTTACAACACAATACATGGCATTAAAATGTTAAAGGAATCACATGCACATTTTGTATGTCAAGTACATTCTTCTGTAACTGCAGCACAGTTAAAAAGTGGGGGAGAACTATAAAGATGAAAGCAGGATGTTTAAAATGGTTTGAATTTAGTAACTGAGAGATAAAATGATGTGGTTGAATTTGACTGATGGTACCTTGAAAAGGAAGCAGACTGGACTGAATATCTTAGCTGAAGTTAGAGAGATGAAAATAAGAAACATAGTAAATACGTTAACCAGAATGAAAGAACAAATGTAAGACCAGTTAACATCCCTGTCCCTTCAGGGTCTGATCTGATGGCTGCGTATTGCTCTTAATGTTATCCTCTCTTGACAGCAGTGATCCCTTAGAAGTGTAGCTGTAACGGGCGGGAAGGATGGGTTTGGTGTTAAAATAATGGAGTGACATTCAGGATCTGAGTTCAGTTGCCAGCCTG